TCTACATTATTTCTATACTTGTTCCTATACCTTCTTAAGATTAAAGTAACTTATTTTCGTACCTTCCCAGGGTTACAGAAATTGTATCAGACCCAAAAGAAAACAAATCACTTCCCGGACCAGCCAAGATGACAGAATCTGGGTTACTGAGTGAATCGCTGTTCGGGCATGGGACTGATTGTTTCTCCCAAGATGATTCAAACCTGAGCAGCCAATTATCTGGCTTTACTTATAAGTAAATACTTTCAACTTCCCAAGGTTATTTTCTGTCATCTGATGTTTTTCCCAAGCGTGCTATCTTTAAGTTTTACTTGGCCAGTGTTACAAAAGCTTTTGTCTTGTCATTATTATATACTGACATGTTCTGTTAGCAGTATTGCTAACTTATGCCTGCTATTTTAATATCTTATCATGATTAGCAGGGCCATGTAAGACTTTAATTTCCTAAGAGATTAGGGATCTAAGCTGTGCAGAAAAGTCTCCTGAATTGGACATCAGGTTAATTTGTCCTCCTGGGACACAGTTAGACCCCACTTCTTAAGTTTTTACGTGTGACTGCTGGTGCTGTGTGGTCCTTCCTTTCCTTGGTACAATTTTTATTCCAGGACTATGTGACTTACTCACAGTTCTGTTTTCCTTCTTCTCTATTTGCACAGTGATAAACAAAAACATTCTATGCTTTATAAACAGATATATATTTAATAGAGAAAACAAAATGCACATGTATTAACAGATTTCTATTTCTTAAAGTCATTAAAAATTTTTAAACATTCTACTACAGTCACTTTTCTTTTTGTATTGAGACTACCCTTTGTAACTATTAATATTTTTTGAGCATCATTATGAACTCCTGGTTTTTTCACAAACAACTTATTTTTATTAACTAAAATTATTGTTGGTTTTTTTTCCTCACTTAATTTGTCACAGGTTGGCCAGTGGGAGCACCATTGACCTAGCTCTTTATCCTTTTAGCACTGCCCCTAAACATCCTTGAATGCTTATTAAGCATTTGCTTAATAAGCACCTATACACATTGCAAATAGTGGGCTCCATAATTATTTGTTAAAATAGTGGACAAATAATATCACAGACCAAATTCTAAGCACTAGGAGTGCATGCAAGAGTTGGTGATGGGCATAAACGCTACTGCTACTACTGTAGTAGCAACAAGTAGGAGAAGACAGAACTTTTTAAAACTTAACTTTTTAAATTTCAAGTATCATGGCCTTGTGCCCTTTTCTTATAATACAAGGTTTCATTGACTATTAAGAATATTTACTACACTGTCATACAACATACACAATACACACTCTGGAGGAGTTACTGGGAGACACCTCAAAGAGAAAGACAGCCATCCTCTGATACAGCTGAAACCAAGGTAAATGGCTGTGTGACTCAGTCAAGAAAGACATGACATACATTTGGTACCTGGGAAGGTATCAAAATAAGTTACTTTAATCTTAAGAAGGTATAGGTATATTAAAATGCTATTAAAAGAGAAAACAAACATCGTTTTCAAATTTGAGCCCCCAAATTACAAGTCAAAAGAGTAGATACTTGGAGTAGCAGGTATCGACTGTACCTGAGCTGCTTCTCATATGGGCAACTTTACACAGCATGATCCAAGGTCAAGCAACACTGATTTCACATGTAAAAACGTATGGAGTGGGGATGGACTAGTGGCACAAGCGGTTAAGTGCGCGAGCTCCGCTGCTGCGGCCCGGGGTTCGCCGGTTCCGATCCTGGGCGCGCACCAATGCACCGCTTGGGAAGCCATGCTGTGGCAGCGTCCCATATAAAGTAGAGGAGGATGGGCATAGATGTTAGCCCAGGGCCAGTCTTCCTCAGCAAAAAGAGGAGGATTGGCTGATGTTAGCTCAGGGCCGATCTTCCTCACAAAAAAAAAAAAAAAAAGTATGGAGCAATGTAGAGTAGACCAGCCTAGTCATAAATAAATCCATATCTAAGTCAGTCTTCTATTTTTAGGCAAAGACAAATTTACTTTATATAACTCTACCCATGAAAACATACCTCTAATGCTTTGGTGGTTCAGTGAAAGTTCAGCCTTGGGAAATGACACAGTGAACACTGGACAACTTTTTCTAGCTCTAAAGAATAAATAAATTAATAAATAAATAAATATAAATTTTAAAATGGAAAGAAAAAACACTATCATTCAAATACAATTTAAAATTTTGTTTTCATTTAAAGGAATTTCAAAATGGGATAAATTTTTTTGCTACATTATTCCAATTACTTTTACAATTATTACCAATTTGTTAACATTTACATTTTAAGTGGTTGCAAAAATAAAGGAGAGAGCTGAAAAATTAATGGATGAACTTCAGGAGTATAAACAAGCTAAACTACATTTAGATCTGAAAGTAACTTTGGAGATGACTGTCTGCCAAACAGCGGTGGTGGGGTCAAGGAGAAAAACTGGTCTTGAATCACATAGGTTGGCTATCCAAATCCTCAAATACACTGAAAGTCTGTCATTATAGTTTTAGATGTAAGTGAAAGTTACTAATGAGAAAATTATCAGACATTACTTACCATTCTTGCAGTTCACAGTAGGCAAAGAAAAAGTAGGAAATACTGAAGGGAAGAGGTTGAATGCAAAATAAGGGTCATGCCTAACCTGCAGTTTTGATCATCTGCCCTGGGATAACTAAAAATTGACTGAAGAAAAGCAATCAGTTAACTATTTTTTTTGGTCAATCTAATTTACTATACAAATGCAATCAAGATATCGTCCTCAAAAAAAACAAAAGCCTCTTGCTTCAGCTGTTTTAAGAGCATTTTTTATGTACCAGGCATGGCTACTTGAATCCTAAGCAAGAATAATAAATTGAACATCCTCGCCTGTCTAAAAACAGAAGTGATAAATATAAGCTATCTTGAAAATGGAAATGAAACTCTTCATATAGAATAATTTCTATGAGGCAAATAGAAAAGAATGCTGATTTTTTTCCCTAAAACGGGATTGTTTGAGAAGAACAAGCTGATTTAAAACATAATAAAATCTGGGCTGGCCCCGTGGCTTAGCGATTAAGCGCGGCACGCTCTGCTGCTGGCGGCCCCGGTTCGGATCCCTCGCGCACACTGACGCACCGCTTCTCCGGCCATGCTGAGGCCGCGCCCCACATACAGCAGCTAGAAGGATGTGCAGCTATGTCATACAACTATCTACTGGGGCTTTGGGGGAAAAATAAA